ATTTTTTTGGATTTAGTTAAAGCAATAACAAATTTTTACTCGAATAATATGGCGAATATTAAAAAAAAATCACAGAAAAAAAAAACTATAGTTTTGATTAAAATAAATAAAAAAATAACAAAACTATGGTTTTCGTTAAAATAATTATAAAAAAGTTATTGGTAGATATTTCCCAGATTTGGTAGATTTTTTTCAAGTGGATGGTAAATATTTTTTTTCGTCAGTGGCAACCCTGCCCCGCGTCTCGCTGCACTGCACTCGCGCCGCATTTCAGGTGACGATATGTAACATCAGGCCCTGTCTGCACAGGAAACCCCTGATGTCGTGATAACAATGTCACAAAATATATTTCCAATGGAGACCGCCTATTTCTTATGTGCTGCAATATATGTCAGCGCTTATTGCTTGACATCTATTGCAGGCAATTCGATAGTTTGACAGCCATATTTTCATTTGAAAGAAAGCGTGCTGGTGGTAACATCGATGAAATTTTGATATTAAATCAAAATAAAAATCTGTTCCGTATTGGATAATTTATGATTACGTTTTAGGAAATTATTTAGGTAGTTTTTTAAAGATTTAAATGTTTTTAAACACCGAAATTGAGAGAATGTTGTCTGGTGGCGTCATGCGGCAAATGCTTATTTCAAGACATCAAAGTGCCCACACACAAAAACTTACAATCACATTGCTCGTCAAAATGAAAGTTGGTAGGCCATCGCTGTTCGCCTGTAGAGTTCTGCGGTTAAGAGCAAATCACGACAATTTGGTTTAAAATTACAGTGCACACTTTCCACTTGGTCCAAAAAAAATCATAATAAAGAAAGAAATGCAGGTATTTAAAGAAGAGAAAACAAAAAATATATTGGGTTGTTCACGCTTGCCTGGTTATCAGGTTATCTGGTTATGCTGATATATTTTTTTACAGTTTACCACAATAAAATACACTACAGAATAATAATTTTTAACCAGATAACCTGATAACCAAGCAAGTGTGAACAACTCATATATTATTAAAAGGGCTATGTTCTCTTTGACGTACGTCAAAGGTCAAGTAGAATAACTGCTCGATTATATAGCTTAAGAAATAATAAGTTTAAAGACATTTTTACCAAAGTTGATAAATATGACATTTGACCAGTTTTGGTACACAAATACTCAAACGACCACAGGCAAAAAATATTGGCTACAATGCACAACATTCGCATTCGCAAAAGCTCCGCATTGATTATTGCGAATGCGAAAGCGAATACGAATGTTAAAAATAATGCGGAAGCTCCGCGGTTGCGAATGTGAATGCGAATAATCGCAACAACCCTAGTGTATATGTACAAATACAAAATACTATATGTAAGTGCAAAGAGATATTTTTTACTTTTTGTAAAAATGACTGCGACTGCAATATGAATGAATTTCAATTCCATAGTTTTTAGTTTATTCAGTTTGTAATTAGCTTTTTAAACTAATATTAAATAAAGACATTTATATTTCTTTGTTTAAAATACAAATTTATTTTTGTTTCTAGTATTCGCAAAAAAGCAAGACCACAAAACTAGTTTGTTAGGATATTTTAATTAATGGTAATAATATCCCGAAGTATGCCGGGATCCCGGGAATACCAATTTAAGATCCCGAATTCACAAAATGGTCCGGGATTGGATGCCTTATCTACTACCCAGCAAGAGCATGGTCACTTGTCCCAGTGACGTGACCGTCACGCGTGCCCGCTAAGGCTGATGCTAGATGAAATATTTGACAGATTCGCTTTTAGCTGAAACACAATGCCGGCGAACGGCGAAACAGGATTGAAATTTTTTTCGTTTTGAGTTGTATCGTTATTCCAGAGGACTACCTATGTATACAAAATTAAAAACTAAAAATAAATTTTATTTAACTTTTATATTTGGCTTTATCAAGTGAACGCCCAAATAGCTACTGAGGCCACCAAAATCGGATTGAGCCAGTACTCATGAAATATGAAATGGAGTGTGAGATTGGAGCAACTTGCGCTCAAAAAGTGTAGAATGCCACAAATTTGCTAAAATTGATGAAAATGTCCACGCTAGTTTGAAAAACAAACATGAAATTGGTGTTTACAAGTTTTCGGATTTAACGCTGCCGTCGATAAAAAGTTGCCATATGAACTTATCTTCTTGTTTGCATTTTGAGCGAAAAAAATTAGATTTTTTTTGAAAAATTCCTACATTTAACTTATTTATAAATCTACCCTTTTCCCTACACTCATTTTTTCGACTAAAATCCCTACGGGCAGGGAATTTTCCCTACATGGTACAGGGACCTAAAGCTCTAACTCAGCGTTTCTAAATCCTTTCGAATGAATGGATGAAAAATTAAGTACTATAAGGGCCGAATTCACAGTGCTTAGTTAAATCATTGTTAACTTAACCACCAACAAGAGTTTAACTAAGAATTTATATTCTGAGTCGCTTAGTTAACTATGGAAATTCGTATAGCATGAAAATATACAAATTCTAAAAATCAATACTTTTCTATTCAAATTTGAAATTCGTTCCACAAAAAAAATACTAATTTCACAAGAGTTTAACTATGGGGGCATGCTGGTTTCCACTTTTGCTAACTGAGCGTTGTAAATATAAAAATCAATAGTTAAACTCTTATCAGCGGTTAACCACGCCCTGTGAATTTGGCGCTAAGCCCTGTATATTTGAGCGGGACGATTTGTAGGGAATCAGAAAAACGGAAAAATCGCATATGCGGAAGATGCTCTACGGATCATTCTGAGCGACTTTGCGTAAGAAACTATGGTCTGGTTTCTCCAACTCAACTTAACTTAGTTTAGGCAATTTTTTAGACTTAGTCACGAATAAGCTGTGTAAAAAGTAGGCTAACTTTTGACTTAAGTGTAAAAAATGGCTAAACTAAGTTAAGTTGAGTTAGAGAAACCAGCCATATGGGTCTGAAACCATTTTCTAGCCAGCGAAGGGGAAGATTCATATCAGGTAATACAAAATTGTGTGGGAAAAACTTAAACAAATAGCTAATCTATTAGTGTAAGCGTACAAAACGTAGTGTATTTATAGAAGCTTTTATTTAATTTTTAACACATAAATGATCAGAATTGAAAAAAAATCGATTAAGCAATCGATTTAACGAAATTTGGTATGTGTACTTATTTTTAGCGTAGGACGGATGGTATTGAAAATAGGTAAAATCGGAAATTCGCCACGCCTACCTCTCATATAACGGTAATCTTCAGAAATACGTAAACTGCGATATTTTAGTAACTACTGAAGCTTATTAACATAAAATTAATATTTAAATGATTTTTAGACGACAAATAATAATATTATAAATTTTTGGAAAATTGGCACAGCCACGCCCAAGGCATAAGGAGTTTTCGCTATGCAAAAAATTTGTACAAGTTGGTACCAATTGTTACCAAATCGTGTTCGTTTAGCCAAAAACCCAGTAAAACTTGCAAGGAGAGAGCACAATTTTGACATTTCATTTGGAGGGGAAGTTGCAAATTCGTGCTGGGAAAATGTTTGCCAGTAAGAATTTGCAACCCTGCAAGAACAGTGACTATCATTTGACCAATAATTTGAGTAGCAAGACTGATAGATATTTCTGTCACTGGCTACCTACAAGTTTCTATCAAATTCTAAAGGGCAGTGTGAAAAATCTGATGGAAACTTTTGTGTACGCGTGATGCTTCATCTCCTTCTAACATATACGTTTTGGCATATTGCTAGACTGCTTACTCCCTCTGAGTTCGGCATTCAAATTTGAATCATCAGTGATGTAAATCTTCGACAATTATGAGTGATCAGCCTTGATAGAAATATAAGTCAGCAATGTGCAATCAAATATGATGTAATACCCGATCAATCATGACACATCATGACTGACATGTTTTCATATCATTGCTGATTACTCACAGTTGATGTAAAAATTCGTCAAGTCTGATCTCTCACGCATGATTAGAAATCTATCATTAATGACACATTTAATACTTATTTTTTTTTCTCTTATTTTCATAAAATCTTATGACCTAATTATTAATCATTAAAATATAATAAGTTAAATAATTAATGTCTTACGTAGTAAAAATTCAAATTTTTTTCATAAAACACATACACTTGCGACAGAAATAATAGAAACGATTTATTTCGGTGCATTTCTTTTGCTTATTTATGGCCCCAATATACATGGCGATTGGTGTCCAGTTGCTGGTCTAGTAGACATGGCTACCAGTATCTTACTTTGTATTATGTATAGCGACTAATCCAGTATACAGAATAGCGCTGACAACATCCGAATTTAGTATTTTGACATGTACATTTCGAAGTAATTGTCAAATTTGCTCCATATGTTTTAACAATTTATGTAAACATATTACAAAACCGTCATAAGGGTGAAATACAAAATTGCGCCACTAGATTCTATTATAAAGGTCTAGCTAGTTGTATGACAAACGCCATACAAATCCACATTTCAAACTTTGTAGATTAAACATTAAGGGCCGGTTGTTCAATGTCTGATTAGCACAAATCGGAGGTAGAAGCTCCGGTTAATCACAACTACTGCTTTATCGATCACATGTTACATGCATGATGTCGAAATCGTCGATAGTGTAGTGGTAGTGATAACCAGATATTGAACAACCGGCCCTAAATGAACACAAAGGAAATGTAGCCAAAAATTAGTCAAAATAACGCGTTTCTATTAGTTCTGCCACCAGCGTACATATGTACATACATAAAACAGATATTAAACAGAGTGGGATTTTTTGTAAAATACTTTTTCACAAAATCTTATAAACTAATTACTGAACATTAAAAAGTTAGTAGCAAATTGATTCATGTCTTACGAACTAAAAATTCAGAAAACCATAAAAACATACATACAGCTGCGTTCAAAATTATGATACCAAAATTCAGAAAGAAAGGTATTGCTTGCACATTAAACATTAAATAAACATTGAACATTAAATAAACATTGAACATTAAATAAACATTGAGTATTAAATAATCATTAAACGTTAAAAAAATAAAGGTAATTTAGCGAAAAATTAATCAAAATAAGGCGTTTATATTATTGCTGCCACTGGCGTTCATATGTACATACTTAAATCTAATATTAAATAGTCTTAAAATTATGGATTTCAACTGCCTTTTTGATATCCTTTTCCAACTCAACTGCACCTTTTAAATGCATCTATGTGGTATGAAATAGATTATCAAAAAAATTTTTATTAAAAAAAATTTTTGTATGTATACGGTAGTAGCCACATAATTAGGGATAGTATTTCTTTATAAGTTTTGACCATTTATTTTTTTATTTATTTGAAATTAACTTTTTTTACAAAGATATAGTTTATACCAAAACGTAAACCGTGCAACTGAAAGTTTCAAACCTTGTACAAGATTTATTAAAAATCGCAAAATTTCAAAAATGGTAATCAAAATTTAAAACTTTTAAATCACGTTCTCTAGAAAAAAAAATCGGGTATTCAGATTTACAGCGCATTCAATGTGAGCATAATATTTTGCAAATTTTGAGCGGCTAAGAACTTGCGTTGTTTTTTGATAATTTTTTACAAAGTATGTTAGAAATGTTTTTATATAGGTATATGAATATAAATTAAAAAAATAAATGTATCGTCAGAACGCAAAGTAGTGTCGCTGATATGTGTGCATATTACCTCGTACGATTGTGTCAACCAGTATGAGTTTGTTCAGTGGCTTTCTCTCCCATCTTCCGTCCCAGTTGAATTGCAGCAATGTTTCGTCCGTAAATAAATGTTTAATGACGCTGCCTACGTCCTCAGATACACCTTTTAATTTTATGATATATGTGGCGCAATCGGACTGCAGTGGTAGAGAACTGGCGATGTCATCTAAATTTGTCAGAAATTTCTCCAGTCATTCGACAAACCGACCTCTCAATCTTCTTTGCAACCACTTTGCATTCTCGTACCATCATATTTTGCGCTTCCATTTCACTTTTATTAACGGCCTGAACAAAATATATTTATTACTTTTTTAAATACATACATATGTAACTTTTTATAATACTGATTTCAAATACGACATAAGTTTTGCTGAACCTGTTCCAATACCTCGGAGATGTGGATTTGGTTTTGAACAATGGTGGTTTGCTAATGTAAAAGGACAATGAAAATTATACATGTACTCTTTTTTTAACCAACTTCTTGCTTTGCTTAAAATTTTGTTTGGGTTACAGCACATGTTGAAAAGTGATTATCTTACATTATGGTTAATTATATTTATGCCTTCTATCAAATCGTTTTGGGTTTTTAAGACCCTTTGAAGGTTTCCATAATTTCTGAAACAATGTTTTATATAAATTTAGTAAAAAATTTTATTCAGTTAAAATTTTTGTAATAAATTACCCTCATTTGAGATATTTGAACTGGCATTATTGTAATCGTTTTTTGTGAAAAAGCGCTTTCTTTTTAGAGGTGGTTGGTTAGCTGAAACCGACAAAAGAAAAGAAGAGAGAAGAGTTGTTGAATATTAACGATTAAATAATAGCTATACTTACCCTCATTTGAGATATTTGCACTGGTACTCGGAAAATATGAAGGAAGAGTGGTTGAATATTAATGATTATCCATCCAAATCCATCGAAATCTCAATTTGCACAGTGCTTAGCCGACTTGCAACAACAATTCCCATACCCGGGAAAGACTGAAGTGGCTCTTCGAAAAAGTTTTCTAATTTTTCAAAGGCATTGCATAACAGTTTTTCCGAGTTCGCCGTCTTTATTATACCTATCACCTTGAGAGGACCCGATTTTTGACTAAAACAGTAACAATCTCTCTCTTTATTGTGGTTTAAATTAAATGATCCTAACATTGAATCCGTATTTTCAGAAATATATTCCTGCCTTTCTTCAAGTCAACGATATTTGTTGCAAGATCTTATTTGCTTTTTAATCATCTTTTTTAAATATTGCATAAAATTTTAAAATTTATATGCTGAAAATGAGTCCAAAGGACCAAATTGCTTCACACAATCCGATAGGTGGAGTACTCCATGAACGTTAAAGCTTATAAACTCATCACCATATATTTCACCAAAGTAAGTTACGAAGAGTTCCAATATTTTTTGGGCAACGTCAGCTTCTGTCTCGGATATCCTTTCACAAGAAAGAAGTCTAATGGTACTATGTAACAGCAAAAAATTGTAGTATAAATCGGGGTTGATGGTATCTTTGAGGACAAAAATGCCAGTATAGAGCAAAAATTGCCTAAATTCCGTTGACTTCCAATTGTCCATCTCATCTAAACTTCTAGCTATGCGACTAAACTCTGAGGGAACCAAACTTGCGATAAAGTTCAACTTCTCATTAATGGATGTTACATTCCCTCTTTTAAGAAACAATTTTAATAACATTTTTGTAACTCCTAGGTCCACTAAGTGAATGCAATCAATCGGAAATTGGGATACCATTCTAAAATCAGTTAACTACAAAATACTTTTTTTCTCTTTAAATTCTGTTAGATGATGAGAAGGATTTGATCTGGATTCAAAGGATGAATCAGTCCTAAGAATGCCAACCTGCTTTGAAAAACAAACCCTGTTTTTTTATATGCACCTTCCTGGCAGCATTTGGGACATCCATTTTTTCCGTTGTGCCCAATAACGCCAGTTACAAATGCCCTAGCTGGAGAGTCACACGTAAACAAGCGTACGTTAAATTTTAACCGGTTTGGATTAAGGCCTACTTGAACTCCATTAATTCTTAATAACTTAACTTCATTGCAGAAGTCAGCCATGAAGCTATCAATATTTCCCGGCTTTTTGAAACCAGAAAAGCAAGCAATCATAAACGGTCTGATATGAGGGGCACCTACAATAGCTCCAAGGATAGGCCAAAGAACGCTGTTTGAACTTTTGAATAATTTTAAACCGTCGACTCCAACGTCAATTAAAACTTCTTCCTTATTTTCTAAACTAGAGATACTAGATGATTTAAAATAGTTCTCAATTCCTAGGTATATAAAATCTCCATCTGGAATCCTGCCAACATTAATTTTCTCTCCGCTTGTATCTAACAAACTTTTGGCAGACATTAGCAAATTCGGTACCCCAATTTTGCGTAAAGTTCGCAACAAATCGTCTAAAGAATTATGTGTTCGTAATAGCCCACAACCTAATCTCTTCAGTACTTTGTACACTTTCTTGCGGGAGCACAGTAATTGATTAAGATTCAGATGAATCTTCAGTATTCTCATCGAATTGTAGGTCAGATGAGTTTGTTGTACTTTCAGTAGATTCTGTACTAAGAAACGAGGGTCCTGGCTGTTCATTTGGATGTACAACACCACTACTTTCTAGGTTCACATTTTCTGCACTTTTCATTTGCCTTAGAGCTCGCAATTTTCTTACATTGGATTCGTAAATCCGTTTTTCTTTGGTCATTGCATTATTATATGCTCTTTTCTTCATTTTAAATTAAATATTTTATAAAACTAATCTTTAATTTTCACAGCACTTTGAATTTCGAGCGGCTTTTCGTTTCGCGACTTTCTTTTCTCCGTTGATGTGCACATTTGAACTTCTTCAGTACCAAGTACATTATAATCCGGTTTTATTTTTTACGTTTGCATACATTGAAATTATCATACCGCAATAAAAACATTAATTTTTACTTACCTTAATTTTTTGCTATGAATGGGGTCCAATAAATGGTAAAATTATAGTTTAAACTAATTAAGTTCAAAATTATATCCAAGTACGTCAGTACTCGAATATTATTTGGCAGGTACAACTACTTTTGTTTAGCACAAAATGCAGCCCTGTTAAATCTTGTGGTTACTATGGCAACCAACTACCGTTACTTCTATCAGCATTGCCACTCACATGATCAAACAAATGACAGTCATTCGCTACAGGGCCAAACCCACCAAACAATTTTTGTTGCCGGCAATAAAGCTGATGCCAGATAAAACTTTGTAGCTTTGCGTGACATTTATAACTTCGCCAGCAAAGCGCCAGACGCAAAAGGTATGCCACAATGAACGCCAAGAAAGCAATTTTGTACCGCTGTTTTACTCGTAAAAGTTGCTGTGGATTTTATATATTTTGCTTTAAAATTATCAGCAATGTAATTAAGTTTTATGTTTCTGCATGAAAACCCGAATTTGGACGAAACAAAATAAATATTAAACCGGCTGATTGTCAAAGCGCGCAAAAAGATGGGAGTTGGCCATCTTTTCGCTTCGCGCTGCAGCTTCAACGATTTATGTGGCATGCTTTGTGCATTTTCATACAATTCATCTTATCTGTCAAAGCGAATCTGTCACGTAAAGCGAAGCAAAAGTTTTATGTGGCATCAGCTTAAGAAAACGTCTCGCCCTCGGAAACAAATTTATTGCCGGTAAGATTGCCATAGTATCGATTTCCTATTACCAGTCGCTCTAGAACGTCCGCCGAAGGCAACTCGCCTGGGCGAGTCGTTATCTTATTACCTGAATGCGTAATTTTCTTATCGTTTCAGACAAGGTGAATTAAAGAAGGTGGGATATATTAGACGATTTTGGATAATACTGTTGACAACAAATGTATAAGTTTGGGAATTTTTGATTACTTATTTATTCCAAAGTTGACATGAAAGAAATGATGTTGCCGATTTGTTACCACAGCAACAAATCGGTGAGTCGCCAATTTGTTGCCATTGACGATTGTTGCTCATTTCTCCTGTTTTGCTTGGTGGGAACTGACATATACAATTTTGCATATGTGTTAGTTTTCGTTGTGAATGTGTTGGAGTTTCTGTCAATCGCGTCTTGTAGGGTCCCTTTGAGTTCGGCCTTCAAATTTTAATCATCAGTGATGTAAATCTTCGAAAATTATGAGTGATCAACCTTGATAGAAATATAAGTCAGTAATGTGCAATCAAATTTGATGTAATAAGCGATCAATCATGACACATCAAGTCTGCCATGTTTTCATATCATTAAATATCAAAAAATTAGAAGCTAAGTACATTACATCAAATTAGAAGCTAAATACATTACCCTAAGCGCAGTACATAAAACATTAATAAACAAAGGAAATGTGGGCAAAAATTAAGCAAAATAAGGCGTTTCTATTATTTTTGCCACAAACGTACATATGTACATACTTAAATCTAATATCCTAATATTATAAATTACATTGAGCTCAATTGCCTTCCTGATTTCTTTTCGAACTCAACAGGACCTTTCTTTTTGAATGCATCTAAGTGGACTGAAATAGACTACCAAAAAATTTGTATTGTTAAAAGATATGTACATATGTATACGGTAGTGGCCACATAATTAGGGATACTATTTATTTATATGTTTTGACCATTTATTTAAGAACTTGCGTCGATTTTTGAGAACTTTTGACAAAGTATGTTAAAAAGGTTTATATATACCACCAGTATAAGTTTGTTTAGTGGTTTTCTCTCCCATCTGCCGTCACAGTTAAGCTGCAGCAATTCCTCGTCCGAAAATGAAAATTTAATACCGCTGGCTACGTCCTCAGACACACCTTTTATTTTTAACCGACTTCCAAAAAAGGAGGAGGTTATCAGTTCGTCGGAATATTTTTTTTTTTTTTTTTATGTATGTTACCGCATAACTTTGGACCACGTCAACCGATTTCGATAATTCTTTTTGCATTTGTGTCTCAGAGGTGGTCCCATACTAATCTGGTTAAGATCCGATCAGCGGATCATGAGATATATATATATATATATTTTTTTTTTTTATATGAGAGTTGAAGTCGGTTTTTTTTTTGCTAAAACTTACTTGTTTATATATGTAATTGACCTTTGAAAAATTTATGTACAGTGAAATATGTATTCCATAATATAATTCATTATCATGGCTTGTGCATACTCTGGATCTTTTAATTTTGTTTCTAATAAATCCACAGCGCAATAGGACTGCAGTGGTAGAGAACTGGCGATGCGATGCAATTTTTTAATATTGGATTCGTAAATCGTTTTTGTTGCTCATGGCGGTATTAAAAGCTCTTTTATTCATTTTAAATTAAATATTTTATAAAACTTATCTTTATTTTTCCACTTTAAGTTTTGAGCATCTTTTCGTTTTGCGTCTTTTTTCTGTTGATGTGCGCATTTGAACTTCTTCAGTACCAAGTACTTTATAATACGGTTGTATTTATTACGTTTATATATAAAAAGAATGTCATTCCACAATGAAAACTTTAATTTTTACTTACTTTTGCTATGAGCGGGGTCGAATAATGATAAAATTAAAATTAAACTAATTAAGTTCTAAATTATATCCAAGTACTTCAGTGCTCGACATTATTT